CCTGAAGCTCTGTATCTGCACCTACGAGAAAAGGGTTTTGGGGTGACCTTGTGACGTACCTGGCTGCCCAGGCAACGGCCCCTGTCTCCCAGCAGTGAGGCAGAAGGGCGTGTGCGGCTTGAGCGACGCCGAGCGCATGCGTGTTGGCAAAGTCCCTGCTCGGGCAACGGCGAGTGTAACACCGCCGACGCCGTGTGTGAGTGCAACCCCTGGCTGGCGCGGCCCCGGCTGCGAGACGCCAGACTGCCCTGGTGAGCCCGACTGCTTTGGTCGCGGCTACTGCAACTTCACGCTGCCCAATCCCGTGTGCCAGAAACTGCGAGCAGGGCTGGATGGGCCCGGACTGCAACACGCCCTGCGTCCACGGCGTTCAAGACCCTCCCAACTCGGGCATCTGCGTGTGCGACCCTGGCTGGACAGGCGAGAGCTGCAACCTCGAATGCAACGGCCACGGCACCATTGATTCCGCCACCAAGACCTGCGTATGCGACTACCTCTCCGGCTACTGGGGCGAGCGCTGTGACATCCGCGGTTGCCCGGGCAATGGGCCCTGCATCGGAGGCGAGACGGCAGACGGCGTGTGTGGCCTGAGCGGGCGTGGAGCGCATGCGCATTGGCCAGTCGTGCTCTGGCAACGGCGAGTGCAACGCCGCTGAAGCGAGGTGCGACTGTGAGCCCGGCTGGACGGGACCCGGCTGTGAGACGCCAGACTGCCCCGGCTCACCAAACTGCTTTGGTCGCGGGTTCTGCAACTACACGCTGCCAACACCGTTGTGCCAGGACTGCCGTGGCCCCTGGATGGGCCCTGCCTGCAACGACCCGTGCGTCCACGGCGTCCAAGATCCCCCAAACTCGGGCATCTGCGTGTGCGAGCCCGGCTGGGCAGGTCGTGGCTGCGACGCAGAGTGCTCCAACCACGGCCGCATTGTCAACGGCAAGTGCCAGTGCACGTTTGAGCTCGGTTACAAGGGCTCCCTGTGCGAGGTGCCTGGCTGCCCCGGTCTGTACGGCTTGGATTGCTC